AAGAGTGTAGTAAGAGAGTATCATCAAAGAAACATGAGCTTAACATTAAAAGAATATGACTCCGTACATTTAAAATTACAAAAAGTACAATCATAGGCATCAAACATCGATGCAATATATAAAGTTTGGCAAAGAAACCAAAATGTACATGATAAGCACAGAAATTTCTAGATAGTTACATACACAACACTCAAAACGTTGTCATTTACAAAACTAGCACCAACCTGATTTTTTGTACTACCAAATTAATGTACTTTTGTGTGTCATGATCAAACTATAGAGAATTTGATAAAAATGAAGAAAATGAGTTGGGATTTTATTGTGAATTTTGATATTTGAGTGAGAACTTGAAAAATGGAAGAAAAAGGGTACTAGATTTGTAAATAACAATGTTTCCAATGCTATGCTTGTAATTGTCCTTGATAGCGAATAAACTTACGGAAAAGTAAAGTTTGGATCTCCATAAATGTTAACCTCAGGCGCATCTCCATACTCCCGATAACATATACTTCGTGCATCCTCACTGGCAATTCTTGCAACTTGCATTGGCGAAAGTTTCGTATTTATTTGACCGATACACCCTGGTTCAGAATCAGGATCATGCAAGGCCACATGCTGCCCTGATTTCCACCCAAAGCAAAACTGATTACACAATAACCAAGTTTGAGTTCATACAACAACAACAACAACAACAACAAAGCCTTAATCCCACTCCGTGGGGTCGGACCTGTCAGGTTCTTAGGAAAGTGTTAACAGAAAGGGAAATTTACATACGTAGCACACAATTCTTTCATATTTATACATCTCACACCTAAACTTCATATTTACATAAATGGCACTGGCAATTTAAAGCTACACAAGAAAAGGTGTAGAATTTCACTTTTAAAAAGTGGTAATAGTGCTATTTTTATTGTGATATTAAAGATTTGAAAAGTTTAGGTATGAGAAATATAAATGCCTAAGAATTTTGTGCCATGTATGTAAATGCCCCCCTCATAAAAAATTGAAAAATGCACACATTGACAGCATGCAAAACTATTCACGGATCAATTTTTTAAACGGAAAACACTAACCTATAAGCATCCGAATACCAATCCTTGACAAGTAGAAACGATCGAGAAACTGATGTATTTCGTTGAGATCTTCGGGAACAAAAGTGGGATCCAAATCTTTTTTTAACTGTTGTACGCCCAAAGCCAATGCCGGAACCACATTGTTATGTCTCACCTTGATCATGTTGATCTTTTTTGTGAATGCCAATTCACCATCTCTATCCTTGATTTCCGCAAACGAACGAAGGTCACGAAAAGAATCCACATACCAGTCTCTGACCTTGTAATGAAAAAGCAACGAGTAGTAAAATTATGTTTATTTTCCACTCATGATATGCATGCGATGGTAGAACTATAAATAATAATAGAGTTTGGGGTATGCCTATTTCATATAAATAAATGTCATGAACGTAAAGATCGACAACAGGTCTTTTATAAAACAAAAGAGTATCTAGGAGATTTTAAATAATATCAAATAAAAGAAAATTTCTAAAAAGTGCACAACTTAAAGCCAAAATCGGTGAATCGAAGATGTCAATGCGCTCTAGCCCAATTCAATAAAATCCAACTGTACATTGATATTCATCGTATTCAAGTTGAGCAAGTCAGTAAAAGAACAGGAATTGGGTTCAACGAGCTGTTGCTCATGAATCAACTTTGTTGGATCCCGAATAGTTTAGAGACTGGACCACTTGGGCAAGAGCAATCCAGAAAAGAGAGAGACAGGATTAGAAGATAGACAAGAATTCAAGAATTTTATTATTAATTGAGTGGTTATAAAATACTATAAGTGCCACCCAAAAATGCCCCCAAGATTCCAACCTTGAACCCTAAATTTAGCTCGAAGTTGGTTCCGGTATGCTACATATATACAAAAAAATTCAATTACTTAAATTTTCTATCATGATTTATAGCTTCATAAGGCACTTGATTGAAGGCAAACCTTTAGATGGACAAGCTTTATTCGTTACATGTCGAGTTGATGAGGTCGAGTGATTGAACTGACCGAGACGGCCCATTGTTCAGCACACACCGAGTTGGTGGATGCTAAGTAGATCTGAAATATCTCGACTCAATTTAAATTCTGAAACGAGTTCTGCACGAACCCTAATTTAGGCTTGATTAGAGGGTATTCAGCTATCCAAACGCAAACCGACTACAACTTGATACATACCAAATTTGAAGTCATCTAAAGACCCAGGGTGCCCAAGTTGAACGCCAAAAGTCGCCATTTAACTAAAGACCAGGCTACTAAACTCACCCAAGAAACATGCTACTTAACCTAAGTATTTGATGGCAAATAGGGGGCTCTGACTATGCGAGCACACTATAGGTACTTGCCATTAAACTGAAACTCAACAATGTTCCCGCTAGCACACATCCACAAGTCAAACTCGTCCACTACAGAGCTATCCACACAGTCATAATAATGAAACATCATGCACCACTTTATGTAACAAATTTATATAGCAAAATTTTGCCCTCACCCTACACTAGTGTTGTGAAAAACGACGACAACAAAGTGAAAAATGAAACGAGAAAAATTGCACGCCGAAAAAGACACCAGAGCGACAGATTTACGTGGTTCGACAAATTTGATTTACGTGGTTCGGCAAATTTGCCTACGTCCACGGAGCTGCAGAGGATTTTATTTCTTCGAGAAATTACACTGTCGAACGCCTCGACGTTTATAATAAAATCTCTATTTTCTTCTCTACCTTCCTCTCTTCAGATGACTTTGTTTGGTCTTGCTTGGCTTGACTTGGCTTTGTTTGGCTTGAGGTTTTAAACCAAAAAAAACTATTTATAGAAACTATGAGAGCGGTAGGTGAGAAGTAGGTGAGCAGTAGGTGGGATGTGGTAGGTGAGCGGTAGGTGAGAAGTAGGTGAGCGGTAGGTGAGATTCTTAATTAGAAAGCTAATTAAATTGCGATGGACCGGGTCTCCACATTACCCAACAATTCTCCCACTTGAAGATTGGGACACTAACTGCATCACCAACTGCTCCCACTTGAAGATTGGGACACTAACTGCATTATCTACTAGCTGTAACAACATTTTCCTTAAACATGATATCTTCCACCTCTGCAACTCAAAATCTCTGTCTTCATGTCAAAAAACCAGCTGAAGTCGAGCATGACTTCAGCTTCTCACGAGTAACACCCTCAATGGACATATCACTGTCAACGCAACCCTGTACGACCAAGCTCTTTCCTGGGTTATTCCTGTATTTGCTTACAACTCCCACTGCATGAGCAATATCCTGCCCCTGCTGAAAGCTCTTTTCAACAAGTCCAGCTTTGTACATCTTACTGTCACCAAACGCAGTCTTCACCCTGTATAGCAGTCGATCGCTCGACTTACAAGACGGATCTCTCACTTCTTTACTCTCTCTTCTTCTTTTTTTACTCCGAGATACAACGAAGAAGATAAACTTATAAGAGAAATAAACTCAATTTATCTTCTACCACAAGCCACTAAAAAGAAGTCAAGGGAGAACAATATTCTTCTTCTTCTTTCTTTTGTCGCAAGAAACTACTGTCTGCACCTCTATTCCTCTGTCCCGTGGGTTACTCTTGTAGCTGCTTATAACTCCCACTGCATGGGCAATATCCCGCCTCTGCTGAAGGCCTTTTCCAACAAGTCTAGCCTTGTACCTCTTACTGCCATCATGCTCAGTCTTCATCTGGTACACCCACTTGTTTTGTAATGTCTTCTTCCCTGGTAGAAGTTCTGTCAGCTCCCACTTACTCGAATTTTCATCTTGTAAGATTTCTTCATAGCTATGTGCTTCTCCACCATCTGTCTGTAGAACAATAGGAATGGGTTCCCCGGACTTACTCTCTACCACATTCAACGCTTCTCCATCTGTTATATATGCTTTCCCATAGTCACTTGCAACATAATTTTGCATCAATTCCCGATGGAATGTTGTATGGAAAGAAGCCCCTGAATCCAATATCCAGTTATCAACAGAACTATGAACTGTCAGCAGTAGTGCATCATGTACTTCTTCAAATACCACATTTGCGTTATTATTCTCCATCTTCTTAGGATTTATGCAATTTCTCTTTATGTGGCCAGCCTTGCCATAATTCCAGCACGTTGTCTGCTGACTAGACTTTGATTTTGATCTCCCTCGATTTGAGTTCCTGTCCTGTGATCTCCCTCTGAAATCAACATTCAGTGTCGAACTCGTACCTGAGATCTCGCTAGAACCTCCTCAGTCAAAATCAAATCACGAATATCATAATATTTCAGTTTAGATTTACCTGCAGAATTGCTAACTTTCATCCTCATGGCTTCCCAACTATTTGACAATGATGCCAACAATATCAGCGCACGTATTTTATCATCAAAATCAATTTCAACAGATGAAAATTGATTTATGATAGTATTGAAATCATTTAGGTGTTGAGCAACAGACACACCTTCCATCATTTTAGTGTTGAATAACTTTTCATCAGGTGCACCTTGTTATCCGCAGATGACTTTTCATACATACCTGATAAAGCCGATGTCTGATAACGCCGCCATGAGATCTGCAGTAGTTATCTTCTTGATTACATTGTGGGCAACCGATCTCGTCAGGATCAATCGAATAATCCCCAGAACCTGTCGATCCAACAGATTCTATTCCGTCTCGTCCATCTTTTCTGGTCGTTTTCCCAATAACGAAAGATGAAGTTTTTTCTCATAGAGGTAGTCCTCTATCTACATCCTCCAATAAGCAAAATATGTGTCGTTGAACTTCTCGATTCCCGATGTTATCCCTTCGTCTCCGCCCATCGTTATTCCTTAGATCTGATCCCAAGTCTCTGATACCAGTTGTTATGAAAAATAATGTGAAAAACGATGACAATTAAGCAAAAAATGGAACTAGAAAAATTGAGCAGAAAAAAATACCAGAGCGACACAAATTTACGGGGTTTGGCAAATTTGGCTACGTCCACGGAGCTGCAGATGATTTTATTTCTTTGAGGAATTACACAGTCGAGCACCTAAACGTTTACAAGAAAATCTCTATTTTCTTCTCTCCCTTCCTCTCTCCTCTCTTTCTCTCTTAGATGACTTAGCTTGGCTTAGCTTGGCTTGACTTAGCTTATAACAAGCCACAGAAGGCTATTTATAGAAACTAGAAGAGCGATAGATGGAAGGTAGATGAGCGGTAGGTGGAAGGAGGGAGGTGAGCGGTAGGTGGAATGTGGGAGGTGAGCGGTAGGTGAGATTCTTAATTAGAAAGCTAATTAAATTGCGGTGGACCGGGTATCCACATTACCCAACAACTAGGAGTTCAAACATGAGCTTATCATGTACTTTTGGACCAAAACTACATATTACAACCATCTCATCAAGATAATTGTCATAATTTCTCTCTTAAAGGCTAAAACTACATCTTAGTTCTATTTGATTAGCCCTTCTTTGTCAAGAGATCAACCAAGTATTCTATAACCAGCCCACTTAAAGAGAATCTAAGAACCTTAACCTCAGTTTTCACTCTCTAATCTTTGAACTTAATCCACAACTTATTTATAGTCTTGATATCTCTCCATAGAAAATATTGGATCCGACAGAGTTAAAAATAAAAATACTTTAGACGTGGAATTGTCCCGCAGTAATTGAAATGAATTTCCCTAGAAACTGCTCAAGAACTAAAAAGAAGATTGATGCGTGCGAGAAAATTCGTGGCAGTAGAGTAGTAGATTACCTTCTTAACGTGGTATGAAGATTCAACACAAATTCAGAAAAGAGATAACAATTAATAATAATACCATAAATTTTTATGTGAAAAAAAAAAAAAAAAAAAAAAAAGGGGGCCCCC